TTAGTGCTACGTTTCGTTTATAATAAATAAATATACAGGGATGGCCAGAAGTACGGAATAAAATTCATATCTTTTGAATGAGTTAATTTTTTTTTAAACGCCGAAACACGTTACCTGATTTTCATTTTTTCCCATCTTTCGGTTATATAATAATTAATTTTTCTTCAACCCCCTAACCCCAGCTACCCCTACTTTTTTTTCAAATGGGAACATAAGGCATGAGGGGGCTCGTTGAAAAGCTTATAGAAAACCGAATCCAGCCATACCAAATAAACAAGTTTTATTTTTTCAATAACAAGTTTTTTTTCATTTAGAAATTGAAACAACTAGATAATTTACAAAAATAAACTCCAATAATCCAGGGGTGTTTAGTCGGGGGATCTTGGCGGCCATTCAACTGTACCCCGTCTACCAATCCAGCGATTTGGAAACATCCAAGTATACATTAATACCAAAATGTGGGGGAGCGCCATCTTGTTGGAACCAAATTCTTTCATTCGGTATATCTGGATCAATTTCATGAGGGAAAATCACAGCTAGAGCAGGTATCAGGTCAAATGTTAGGAAATCCAGGTAGCGTGCGGCAGTAAGATTTTCTTCAAAAAAGAATGGGCCCAAGATTCTGTTGTTGATGATACCTGCCCATACATTAACTTTTTATGGATGCTACGTATGCGATTCGCATGTCCAGTGTGGATTTTCCTGGGACCAAAAGCAATAGCTGTACCTGTTAACCATTCCATTTAAATAAAACGTAGCTTCATCCGAAAAAAGTACGTCTCGTTGAAAACCATTATTGTCGTCACACCGTCTCAAGACATACCTTATAGGGGTTGTATTTCTCTTGTTTCAGAGACAATCGAATTGCAGTTCGAGAAGCATCGTGATTGCGGGCCAATGAATCAGTTGAAGTATGAGGATATTCAACAAGTTCTAATGCAATGTCTAATTTCTTTTCTTCATTCAAAGCACGTGCCCGTCCAGTTTTGGGCAAAGTCTGTACTGTACCGTGTTCCCCAAATTTGTGAAATATTTTACTAACTGTCCCTTGCGAGATTTGGACAATACCATTGCAATTCAGTAAATAACTTGATTTTGACACAATAGTAACGTTTCGAACTCCAATTTACAAATAAAGCGAAAAATTAACCAGAAAGCCTGGCAATCTTTTTTGAGTTAGCAGTGATAGGTACAATTTCAAATTCTTTATATTATTCTGTGAAAATTCATGGAGGATAACACTGAAGATAATTAAATTTTATTTAGGTGTATTTTAAGTAGGTGTTTTATACAACCCTAAAAACCTTGCTATTGAAAAAATAAAACTTGTTTATTTGGCATGGCTGGATTCGGTTTTCTATAAGCTTTTCAACGAGCCCCCTCATGCCTTATGTTTCCATTTGAAAAAAAAAGTAGGGGTAGCTGGGGGTTAGGGGGTTGAAGAAAAATTAATTATTATATAACCGAAAGATGGGAAAAAATGAAAATCAGTTAACGTGTTTCGGCGTTTTAAAAAAAATTAACTCATTCAAAAGATATGAATTTTATTCCGTACTTTTGGCCATCCCTGTATAATTAAACAGCATTTGTCACCTTCCAAGAAGTTTTTCGAGCAAACAAAACCATGAAGGGTAAATTAAAGAACTTGTAAAACATCTAAAGAAAGAATGTTATCTATGTTTTGTAGCAGTATTAATTTGGATATTTTTTTGTGAAAAATTGTATTTTCTGATGAATTTAGAAAAATACCAAGGTTATTATATATATTAATTATATAAATATACAAATATTTGCAGTGTTTAGCTCAATCTTTAAGAAGAATACCTCTGCAACTTTAACAATAAGTAATCTATTGCAGCTGTTACGTAAATATAATAGTAGATTTTTCCGCCTTCTCCAAATTTTGTAAGTAGGTAGCATTGTTCTACTCGATGCTTGTTAACACATAAAAGTGGTGAGAAATTAAATAATAAAAAATAATACGTAACAGGAGTTTTTATGTAAGGAATATTTAGAAATGTTCTCAATTCTATGTATATTTAATTCATTGAATCACAAACAAGTCTGAAGAATAAATTTTAATGAGCTATGTATTTAGAAAATTAAAAAATATACAAATAAGAGAACAAAAACGGTAATAAAGTTAATAAGCGTTGGGAGATATCTAAATAACATTTTTTTTTAAATTTTGAATACATTTTCCTTCCCTGTTTCCCACGATTGACTCTAGTTAGATCTAGTTACCTAAGTTGTTTCTAATAATTACCACTTTCTTCTCGTTGTAATTCAATATTTTCCGTTAAATTGGAATATCCGTCACATTTCTAGAGTTACTGTAAATTTCCTACATTTACGTAGGCAGTGGCGTGCTATCTACGAGTCAAATGAACATTCTACAAAGTCGATAATTGATGCTGAACATTTTTTAGATTGAAGAGTGGAAGAAACGACTTCTCCGAATAAGAAAATTTTTCTAAAAGTCTGATTAAATTAGTCAAACAATGTTCTTTGATAACAAAAATTTAAGTATCCAAAAGATATATAATCTAATTGACCCTGAAGAATTTCGAAAAATTTTAGAAAGGCCTAAACATATGCAATTTTTTTATTTTTAAAATGAATTACAATAATGCAAAATGAACATTTAAAATTTGTTCAGGTTTCGTGATAGTATAACGCCACTGTACGCACGTTAGCCTCATTCTAATGCATAATATAATTCTAAAAATATTTTAACTATTATGGAAGTCGAACATTGAACTGAAACGAGGCCATGCAAATCGATATTTGGTCACAGATTTTCATGAAAACAAGGTAGTTACCAAATATTTTGATTAATATTTGAATACCCACATTTTTTAAGTATTGACTCAATATCGAGTAATTACAGAAAACTTTCTTTTATTTTAATCAATGTATTATTTTCATGTGGTGCCTAATATATAATATATAATTCCCAACCAGTTGCAATTAGTAAATATATATTAATAAAAATGAAAACAAGTATGTAATGTATAGTTTTACACAAATATACATATTTGTGGAATTTTGTATGAGATATTTTACTATAATTAAATATACGCAAAATGGATAAAGTTAAAAATTTGAAAACTACATATCCGATATGGCAAATTTTGGAAAAGAACAGAAGTACCTAATTTGACAAAAATAATTTGATGAGATTTTGTATCTTTCTATATTGCAAAATAAATTATTCCTACTACTTTAACATTTTATTCTAGAATGGCCGACTCATGAGTTGTTAGTATTTATATTACCAAAATATAATAATTTTATCTTGAAAAGATTGTTAAATATATAGATTTTTATGGAATTTAACATAAATTTCAACATATTGTCTGAAGACATTTATTTGTGACATAATTTTGTTTTTTTTCCTTATTTATTTGGTATTTTGCCAATTAATGAAATAAATAAATCCTTGCCCCAAAACCAAAAAATATCACACTGAAAAAGCAGACAAATACAAAATACAAAAAATATGTGGTGCACATTAAAAAGTCGTTAACGTTTTGAAAATCTATCTGATTTCATCTTCTAAACTTATAATGACTTTTCGTTTTTAATTATTAAAAAAATAATACCTAATTACCAACGTCTTAAAGTAAGTAGGTACGCGATATTTAGTGTATTTTGTATTTGTTTGTTTTCTTTAATGTGAGATTTCGGTTAGGAAAAACTATTATCACAAAAATAACCCAATAAATAAGGAAACAAAAAACAAAAAATTTCAACCATGAATAGGTCACATTTGTAATATGATACGTATAATTCACTGCAATAAGTGCCTGTACCAGTCCGCATTTTATTCGTTGTAATCTGCCGTAGTTGAAAATTGTAGAGTACTATAGCTTAGAATTGTCTTTATTCACTAAACCATAAATAGTTTAGCATTAAATGTTTAAAATCTCTATCTGTTAAAGAAAATATTGTTTCATCATCATCATGAACCATCTAAATTGAATTAATCGAGATTTGATTTTTTGATTACAGTTATCCGGAAATTACGAGGAAAAAAAAATTAAGGTGACTTTATTTATCAAAATATTGGTACGTAAGCTCCTAAGACACTTTTTTTTAAAAACCCAATTTCAATTCCGTTACTTATCGTTTTCATTCATTTTTGGATTTTTTTCAATTTAACAATCTTTTTCAAATTTGATACACTTGTAATAAACTACACCTACGAAAATATCTAAAGACTTAAAGGGTTTAAAATGAGTCTTATTGGCAAAGAAATTAATCGTAACTTTTTATTTTTTATTTTTCAAAAGAATTAAAAGCTTCAGTTTAAAGACCAATAAGAAAGCCATATAAGGAGGCTACTAAGTTGAAAAAATTTGCCGTTTAGTTAAAATTCCAGTACGTGTTTATTATTAAATTTCAGTGTTTTTTTTTAAAGAATTATAAGTAACCACAATCTAGTAAAATTTAATATTTACAGTTATAAATTGTCTTTTATGATCAAATATTACCTTATTTATAGTGTATGTGTATACTGCAAAAATTGGTAAATTTAATGCTTTCTCTTTCACGGTTCTTTTAAACATTAATTGGGTTTTTTATCCACAACGGTTCATATTATTATCGATTTAGAACAAGAAGATATTTTTGTAAAATAATTTAATGATCTTTAAGTTGCAAATGTTATGAACGATTTCTTTTCCGCTGAGGGCTATTTGAAATTAAATATACAAAGTTTTCGAAAAAAGTCATAGGAACTTATAACTTATACCATTTCTTTTATGAGTATAATTGCTCGTAGTTTCCGGAAACCCTGTATTTTTTTAATTTTCGACATGAAGGCTTTAAGTTGTTGAAACATACACAAACACTCTGTATATTACAGCATCCTCGAAGTCGTTGACACTAAATGAGTCACAGATCCCCATCACATCAAATTTCTCTCATCACTAATTACAATGCCGATTGGACGTCTTTATTTACTAACATTATTAAGAAAGACTCATCTCTTGCAGGTGAAAGCGGCCAACACCAGAAGCCGCAGTGAAAACCCAGCAGCTCGAACGATGTGAGAACTGAAATATCAGTTTTTGCATAAGCGGTAATTGTTGTTAATGCAATTTGATTCCCAAGACCCGAAGAACTGGAGCAATTGTCGCAAGACGCGGTGTGACTACTGAGTGACCCTACCTTAATACGTGCTGACTTTTCGGTGCTGTTAGGCAATTTTAAAAGACGTGGTTGAGTTTGAAATCAGTGCAGTTGGAGTTATCAATGTACTTAAATTAAGTGAACGCCTGGAAAATGACTATCTCCATGGAGCACAAGAACCAGAGGAAGAACTCCTGGGAATCAGGGAAGGTGAGTTTTTGATTTCTCTCAGCAAGATGCTTGTTGGTTATACAAATCTAAAACAACTGGTCTACAGACAAAAACAAGTTACATGAACAAATTACTTATTCTATTCAATTCAATAATCTGAATATATTAAAATTGATCATATTCATTCTGCTTAAAGGTAATACAGGGTGATTATACTTTAAAATAGGAAATTATGAATTGATAAGTTAAGATAATTGACTCAGGAGGTTCAGTTTTATAATTTTCTGATGTTGTCAAGAATCTATAAACGAATGTCAAAAGAGGTCTTTTAATTGGTAGAATATTAATTTTAATTTCGTAGTAGTTAGTGGTAGTGTTCAAAATCCAGCAAATACGTATCCTGTTATTTTTCTTTGGAAATATGAACTAACTCTTTTTTTCTGGAGAAGGAGATCCTTCGTATTTTGATGAACAAATTATCTATTTGACAAACTGAATTCGTTTACGGACTTAAACCCGTTACTTTTCTAAGAGAGCCCTTAAAAATTAAGTTTATAGTAACAAGCTCAAGATGAATGAATGTAAATAAATCAAGACAAATTACTGCTGCTACTACTACTACTACCTATTATTATTTTATTGAATTATTTACTATTTATACCTATGTTAGTTCAGGTTTCTTAATAAAAATCTCCACGTATATACATATAGATAATTTCAAATATTAATGCATTTTCATTGATGTACCAAATTAAATTCAAATCCGTCTATAATTCTTGAGATGTAAGGTAAGGATTTTTTCAAAATTTTAACCGTTTTAGTTAGAAAATAAATTAATGGGTTTACAACTCAACCAACATACGGAAATGAAAGAAAAGAAAATGAGGACATTGACCTTGTACTTACAAATCCCCATGCAATGCGATTTATGCGCAGTATCAATTGCAATGCTTATATATATATCAAGCATTTAAGCAGCCAAGTTCAGTGACCTTACCACTCTAATGTATTGTATGATATACAATTTAATTAATGTCAGGTGGATGATTTTTTCGGTGCATAAACGTCAACAAGACTCAAAACGCAAAATTACATTAGAAACTTTGTAATATAATATTTTTCAGATTAAACACAAGATTGGCTTCAGTTTTCATTTCATAGTTATTAATGATTATTTAATGCAGATTGATTAAAACTAAAACAAAAAAGGAAATACTTTTCCACAAGACATTTCCAAATTAATTAAAATGGAATATTGTACTTGGTGTATTAAAATTGTTCGAAATGTCACACACATTTCAATACACTTTGTCAAAATTAAAATGCAAAAAAACAAAAATTGTAAGGTAAGGACATAAAAGTTTACAGAGAATAGCGCATGTAATTTTCAGTAAAGAATTATTTCCTATAATTTTAGAATTTAAAATAAATCACTCTTTATCTTATTGACATGTGTAGTTCAAGATTCTCCAAAATAATTCAAAATACTTACTATACAGGGTGAATGTAATAAAATGTCAAATGTAAAACAATGGTGTACCTTATACTTACAAAATATATAAACGATAACGAATATGCAGTTAAAATTTTATGTTAATTTTCTAAGAATTACTGGAATTTTTAAGTACCAGTAACCAAATTTATGTTTTTCGAGTAAAGACTCTTCATGTCATTGATGGCTATATGAACATGAACCTTATAATTTTTGTTTCGAAGACATATATTCCTTTTAAATATATATAACTTCAATTATTCAAAATAAAATACCAAAAATGTGGTGAAAAAACGATTTTATGTATGGCATTGAAAATTTTTGAAACAATTCGCGTATTCATTTTTCGTCTGTTCGTCCTTATTTAAATTTAACATTTGATTTTAAAATGTCAAATTTTAAAAATCAAGGATGTAAATACTTACATAATATACATATAAAAAATGTTATATTATTAATGTTTCATTTTAATATGTTACATTATATACAGGGTATCCCAGAAAGGATGGAATGTAATGTAAGGAAATGGCATAGAGGGTGTTATTTTCTTTTTTTTTAATCCTCTCCTTTTTTACTATCCCATAACTTTTATTCGCACCTATACCAAATCTGCGTTCATATAAAATTCTGCTTATTTTTATGCATAGAAACACTGCTTGAAATATAAAAACGAAATTCCCCAACACCATACAGGATGATTCAGACATAATCTTATTAATTTTTACTTCGTAACATATTTTATGATGGGGAAGCGAAACAGTAGATTTCCTCAGAACGTGTTGAATTTTGCAATTGGTTTTAAAATCAAAGCGCAGCGAATTCCAACTTTATTAACAAAGTGCTATGGACAGATGAATGTTTTTTTAGAGTTTTTTTTATGTATTAAAAATACTAAATTGTAATCTAACATTCGAAAACAATTATTATCGTTATGCATTTATTTTTAATAACAAATAATATAATTAATACTTTTTAATATTGAAAATGTGAAATAATATCTAATTTCATTCACGTGTCTAGGTAAAAAGATCTATTTTTTCCTTATCGGTCACTACGGATTAAAAATGCAGTAAAATCTAGGTTAAAGACCGAATAAGGTAGGTAGGTCAAGATTTACTCTGGATAAACCTTTGTAGATCAGCGGTCAGGAACGGTTCGAAAAAAGGTTTAAATAATGATCTGAAAATATTTTTTCAGCGTAAATATGCATTTTATTTTTTTTTATCGCGTATTCGTATTCAACTCATTTTCCCATATCTTCCTATAAAATTAATGACATTATTACTGAATCACCCTGTATACCTTGAGCATATTCAATGCCGAAAAAATAACACTTGTCAATTTCTTACATATTATAGTAATATACTGAAACAAGTAAAGACGCTTACCAACCAAGAAAGAAGCCTAGCTCAATCCGTTGAAAAGTTATCTAAAAAAATGTCGGCGTCGACTTCGTCGTACCAGTAAATTGATCAAAATTAATTTATTTTGATGCCAGAAGGCTGTGGTTCAACGGTGTCTCAAGTTTTCTGGGACATTCTGTATATGTATCAAGACCTCCTTTTTAAAAGATTATACTAAAAAATAAAAATATTGCATTCATTCCTGCAAAAAAAAATTGAGAAAATCATAGAATTTGCTAAGAGGGTCAACATTTCTAAAAAATTGTTTATTATTTATGCTTCATTCAGGTAAAGTCGTAACCTTTCATGATTTATGAAATTTAGGTATTTCAAAATTTCTCCGACTCATTGAAAAACTGCAATAACTAAAAACCGTTTTATGAAACAGTAGCGTTCGTCACGACGACCATTGTGCGAATTTTGAAAGAAAAAAAATTAATTATCCACAATTGAACAACAGTGCTTCAATTGACAGTTCTCTCCGGTGCTTTTTTGCCGACGCCGCAGATAACCCATCTCTAAACCGCGCACTAGATCGAGAATCTAGTTTACGCAATTTCAACATTTACTCCAGTCGAGACGTTATACAAAAATGTGTCGCAACCAAATTGTCGGCTGTTACGATAAATTTACCGTAGCGTTAAATGGTGGTATATTTTACGAATGAACCACTCTGCCAGTGCTGTAGACGTAAGGAAGCAAGAAGGAAGTCTACTTTTAAATATTCCATTTACATTCAATCAAAATTTGTAATTCTTATCGAAACGAGAATATTATACTTATACAATATACAGGGTGGTCTTAAATTGTCTCCCAATATTTTCAGGATGAATAATACATAAAAAAAATAAGAGAATCTTTTTTTTTTGAAAATGGATAATATGGTAAATATACCCCTGTAAATATTAATCTCTAGACAATCAAAGAAAAGATAAATTTTGTATTTTAATTTTAACAAAGTGTATTGAAATGTGTGTGACATTTTAAACAATTTTAATACACCAAGTACAATATTCCATTTTAATTAATTTGGAAATGTCTTGTGGAAAAGCATTTCCTTTTTTGTTTTAGATTTAATCAATCTGCATGAAATAATCATTAATAACTATGAAATGAAAACTGAAGCCAATCCTGTGTTTAATCTGAAAAATATTATATTACAAGTTTATAATACAATTTTGCGTTTTGAGTCTTGTTGATGTTTATGCACCGAAAAAATTATGCACCTGACATTAATTAAATTGTATATAACATACAATACACTAGAGTGGTAAGGTCACTGAACTTGGCTGCTTAAATGCTTAATATATATATAAGCATTGCAATTGATACTGCGCATAAATCGCATTGCATGTGGATTCGTAAGTACAAGGTCAATGTCCTCATTTTCTTTTCTTTCATTTCCATATGTTGGTTGAGTTGTAACCCATTAATTTATGAATTCGTACTATGAACTTCGGCTTTGAGCTTGAAAGGCACTTCAAAAGTTGAGCCCTATAACTAATTACTATAATAAATGTATACTGTTTAGCGTAGAAATATACCCTAATATATTTTCAAAAATATAATATATAAAATATATCTTTGTCAATTTTTGGTAATACATTGCATCTTTATTTTCGTATATTTATGGTGGGAGATCACTGAACAAATTTAAAAAAAATTATACGTAATCAGGTTTTCTTATTTTTTGATGTACTATCTTTACTCACAATGGCGGGGATCAATTTACCACCATTTTTAAGTAGATTTCGAAGTATTTTCCAAGGTCCTTTAAATTGAAAGCTGGTAAAGAAATCGAGTATTAAATTGTTAAAAAATGGTGGAACAAGATTGATTACAATCCTTAAAGTTAAAGGTTATATGAATAGAAAGAAAATCAGGCTTCATATTGCGTATATATGGATAAGTATTTCACATTATGAACAAGGAAATTATTATTTAAAATTCCAAAATATCATGAAAAAAAACTAAATTCCAAAACCGACCCAAACGATAAAAAAGGGATTCAATATATGTCAATTATTACGAGAACATTATGAATATTCTGTATAAAAAAACATTTATGTTAACCTGAACCGTAAATATTCTTTCATAGTAATCACTCTATTTTGGTAGAAATGTTCATAACAGGAAAAATAGCT